TTCGAATTTTGTTTAATATGGTCCCAATTGTTGGTTGTTTTGTGACGTTTTTCAAGACCTTAAAAAATATATTCTATTCACGCATACATATTATTTAATTTCGGATTTTCATCAAAAATCCTGGGATAAATATTTACAAATCGGTTATTATTCCGGCGCCTCCACCATTTTTATATATAAAAAATTTAATTTCATAGAAGGGATTTGAAAAATGGGGAACTCTAAACCGAAATTTTATCAGAGGAATGTTTGCTTATTTTCGCTTGATGGTAAATATTAAATTCATTTTTCTTGGTTTAAGTCGGTATCTGGTTTCTATAAATACCAAGAATATGCTTCACTTTTTCTCAGATATGGCATTTCATTTAAAAGTTAAAAAAAAACTTCCAATTAAATAACGATTTGTGAAATTACTACAAAATTTAGATCTTACGAAATCCGTTTGAGAAAAAGGACATTGAAGTCGTTCAAGTTGATGCGAAATGAAGTGTTTTCAGATATCAGTGAAATTAGAGAAATATATTATAAATTAAGTATATAATTATTGTATTATTATATTATTAATTGTTTTAGTACCTACCTACGTATTTAGCAATGCTATAAAATTTGTTCTATGATGGTTTACGCAGAAAACTAAATTTGTTTTTGAATTGTCGGCATTTTGTTTTAAATCTTAGATTCTACCGCGTTTCAAAATAGAATTCAATTCGCATTTTACAGTAAATAAGATAAGTCTTCATTCTAGTGACTACTCTTGATATTGTTCAGTTTTATCTTAGCAGACTTGAGCCCCGCCCACCCACCCACCCTTTATTTTCACCGAAGTTATATTATTGGCCAAAATCAGTCTTATCTTAGCAAGTACTAGCCTCGTGGTGTGAGCATTTTTTTTTAATTGGCTCCGGTTTTTGAATTTCGTCAATTTTTTCCAATGTTTACATTTTGATTTCCAATTTTTCGATTTTGCGACTTTTGAATTTTTTAATCTATCGTCTTTACAATCTTTCAATTTATCGTCTTTAGAATTTTTCAATTTATCGTCTTTACAAGTTTTCAATTTTTTATTTATAGTTATTTAATGTTTCATTTTTTCGATTATTTAAATTTTTTGCTTTGTCAGATTTTTTGAATTTCAATTTTTTTTCAATTTTTAAATTTTCAATGTTTTATCAAAAAACAAATTTATTCAAGCTGAAAGTTGAATAAAAAACCGAAAAACAAAAATTCGAAAATTTTAAAAATTAAAAATCCAGAAATGTAATTAAAATTTTAATCAATTTAAAAATGGAAAAGTTGCAAATCAAAGGATTGAATGATTAAAATGCTTTATATTTTCTCAAAATGTGGATCTTCATCACTTTTTTGTGTAAACATTTTTAGTTTTTCTCACATCTTGAGATCCTTTTTGTTTTTTGAGTAAAACCTTGATGACACATGTGAAACACAAGTAATAACAGAAAACAAATATTACACAAAGGGCAATCATACAAAAATATCTTAAAAAAATTCATCTAATTTAAACAGAACATCCTTCGCTCCAGAAAATGTACCATAAATTAAGTCGAAAATACGTTGAATGATTTTAACGGAATATTAGCGGAAAATTAGTGATTATTTAATTAAAGGGAGGGTGGGCGGGGCTAGTACTTGTTAAGATAAGACTGAAAAATAATAAAAGTAGTCACCAAGTTGGAGAGTGGCTGGGTGGGCGGGGCTAGTGTTTGCTTATAAAACTGTCTAAAATTAGTTTAATCTTAGTAGGTGGTAGCCCCGCCCACCCACCCCCTCTCCAACTTAGTGACTACTCTTATTATTTTTCAGTCTTATCATAACAAGTTAACTAGAGGGTATGCCATTTTCCAAAATTAGTCTTATCTTAGCAGGTAGTAGCCCCACTCACCTGCCCTATATTTAGATATTGGTGAAATATTTGCAGTTAGGAAAGAGGTATAACAATTTTTTCCCTTTTTCTATTATAGAATGGTATGATCTAGTTCAAATTGCAGTTTTTTATGTTTCAGGCCCCTGAAAACGGTTCAAACAACCAAAAAAAATGCAACAGAAATATTGTAAAAAAAGCACTATTGTTTTCCATTTTTCCTGTTTTTTCTGTGTTAAACATCACAGAATCTTTTGAAAAATCTCACACTGACAAAGTAAGGTAGGTTAAAGGCCCCTGTCATTAAATATTTGTAAGTAGTACAATTTATTTAAATAATAATGTCTATATTAAAATCAAAATGTACCATAAATTGAGTCAAAATACGTGGAATGATTTTAACAGAAATATTAGTGGGAAATTAGTGATAATTAATGAGAGGGTGGGTGGGCGGGGCTAATACTTGTTAAGATAAGACTGAAAAATATTAAGATTAGTCACTAGATTGGAGAGGGGGTGGGTGGGCGGGGCTAGTACCTGCTAAGATAAGACTGATTTTGCAAAAATTAACATACCCTCTAATTAAATAGAGGGTGGGTGGGCGGGGCTAGTACTTGTTAGGAAAAGACTGAAAAATAATAAGAGTAGTCATTTGGTTGGAGAGGGGATGGATGGGCGGGGTTACTATCTGCTATTATAAGACTGATTTTGGAAAATGACGTACCTTCCAATTAAATAGTGCGTGGTGGGCTGAGTTTAGCTTTTTTCTACAAAGTCTTATAAGCAAGCAGTAGGCCCGTCCACACACCCCCACTCCATCCCAGTAACTACCTACTCTTAATTTTTTTCAGCTTTAACTTAACAAGTACCAGTACCGCCCATCCACCCTTTATTTAATACAGGGTGTGTCACTTTTGCAAAATTAGTGTTTTTCTAGCAGGTAGTAGCGTCAATCAAATCCAGATTTTAAGATAAATTATAAAATTTGATTTGGCATATTTCATTTTCTATGATGGCATTGTAAGTTCAAGTAAAGATGAATGTGGAATGTGGATTGTGAAATTATCGATAAAGAAGCATGCTATGCATATGTGTCAAGTGAGGGTCCCATAAGAAAATTTTATCATGACGTTATCAACGGACAAGGACAAAACAGTCAACAAAATGTATATCAGCAACAACAAAACACAAAAGTATATAAAAAAAATATGAAATACACTTCAAAAATAGTTTTAAAAAAAATCATGAAAAAGAAAGCGACAAAAAAGGCTACAAAAAGCTGTTAAAAAGGATCAAAAGCAGAAAAACACGAAAAAAAGGACAAAAAGGACTATACAACAGTTATCAAAAAAGACACCAAAAAGTTGGCTTAAAAAAGCGATTTTGGGAAAGAGGGACAAAAAACGATGCCAACAAATAGGTAAAAGAAGAGATCAAAAGAAGACAACTACAAACCTGACCAAATAAAGGCTTCAGAAGGGCTAAAATAAGCAGATGATGAATACAACAAAAAGATCGCATCAAAAAAAGCTTATAAAATATGTATAAATAAACCGACGAATAAGCTACCAACAAGCGACAGGGCAAAAAGGGGGCAAAAAGGCATAGAGAAACAAACCCAAAAAATGTGAAAAGAAAGAGAAAGCGTTACAAGAAAAAAAGGCAACAGAAAAAAGTTGAAATAAAAGGAGAGCAAAAAAGTATAAGTATAGTATTTTATACATGGTAGATCGGTTTTTTCCAGCAAAATTTTGCGACGTCATCAGGTTTTTAGATCGAAAAACTGAAAAAATTTAAAAATTTGAAGAGCGTAAAATTCAAAACTCGATAATTTCAAATCGAAAAGCTGTAAAATCGAAAATGTTCAAACTGAAAAATACTAAATCGAAAAATTGAAGGGACTTTTAAGTTTCAAACATTGATATTAACTTAATAAAATAATTAGGCCACACAACATGAATATGAACGATGAAAACAATAATATTCGAGTTTTACACAGTTTGAATTTCACAACGATATGCTTGATTGTGATTGGTCGGCACGGGTACGGAAACTAATGTATACTATTTCATTAAATATCAAGATAGCTAAACAAATGCCTAATTTTTATTTATCCATATTATTTCAAGTAAAATTTTCTGATAAATCCTTCAATTAAATGTTTCATAAATTATTTAATGTCCCGGCGCCTCCACCATTTTTATCTAAAAATTAAATTAAACAAATTAGTTTGAAAAAATTTTTTTATTTTAAATGAAAATTGTATTTTTGCAAATACATTTTCTGGTCTTCTGAAATGTACTATCTTAAGCAAAAGTTTCTTCAGATTTTCTGAATTAAACATTAATTTTACTATCTTGACGCCTCTGCCATTAATAACCAAAAAATACAAATTTATCAAATCTGGCCAAAACACAAATAATTTAAAGAAATACCTAGCGTGTTCTGGAATATATAAATCCTCAATTCGGTCCGAAAAAGAGTCATTTTAACTCAAAATTCTTAACATTAAAGCTGCTCAAATTGGTTCGAAACACGAATCTGAGCTTATTTATTCGGTATCTGTCCAAATAAATAACAAAAGAGCATTAAGGTTAGTCAGGTCCATGCGGAAAGAAATCATTCATTAGTTATACTATATATAGAACAGACCAGTTCAATTTTGCTCTTACAGTAACTCCAATTTGGTCGTTTTTTTAAATTTTAACCATCGGAAACTGATACAGTTGTTTTTCAAACGAAATATCTTAACGAACACCTCTTATTAAATCACCATCAAATTTGTGGTAATAATGAGATAGATGTGTACATTTTATTAACTACGTAAATTTATCACAATATTTGCTAATTTCCCGTTAATATTTTATTACCATTAATGAAATTGCTAATTAATAATAAATCCCTTTAAAAAAATATGCTCCCCATTCTTCACGTTATTACGAAAGTCCTCTTCCCCATCTCCCAAATTACTATTTCATGCAACCCGTACAGGGCATAACGTATGTATGAAAACCGCGTTCATGAATAACTTGAATGGAGAACACTCCTGCATATCGTTAGAGGCTTTCCTGAGCTTCTTTTCAGCGCTCGGACGAGTTAATTATTTTGTTTTTTGTTTCAGGTTTTCTTAAGACCGGTACTAAAGGTAGTGCCCAGGGGAATTTCGGTCTAATGGATCTGGTGGCAGGGCTGCACTGGCTTAGGGAAAATCTACCAGCCTTCGGAGGTGATCCCGAGAGGGTGACTCTGATGGGTCACAGCACCGGTGCCGCCCTTGTCAACTTTATAGCTGTGTCTCCCGTAGCAAAAGGTAACAAGCAAATATTATCAACGACCTCAGCGGCTGGAGCCTTCCCCTTTCGTGTTACAAATCAGTAACGACTTTTAACGGTCTTCCGGGAGAGGAGATTTATTGTTATTTTCTAAAGTACGGAATTCGTTTGAGACATCTTAAGTAAGGACGGTTAGCGGAGGCGCCAGCGCGGATAATTTAGTCAGACTTGGCGAAAATTAATAATATTCTGCGTTACTACGAATATAGTCTGCAGATTTTAGTTAATATACAGGGTGATTTCGAAATGTGTGCAATAAAAATAATCTAGTGATGTATGTCACAGTCAGGATGTAGCGAAGGTTGACTACATTACACGGTAGAGGGAACGCAGATGTGCGCAGTATGTGATGTAACATGGAACAAGTTCGAGGGCCCAATTAAGTTGGGAATTTAAATTTTCCTAATACTGTTGCAAAAAAAAAAATAAACATTTTGTTAGGAAAACGAAGGAACAATGGCGCTCACAATTAATCCCTCGTCGTACAGGTAAAAAAAATCCTTGTTACTCCAGTGGAATTTTTGCTTTTTGTGCGTGTTTTCGCCATTTCTCTTGAAACAATGGGGAAATACACGCTTCATGCTAAGCACTAAATTCGGTTAAACTAATCCGAAAAACAATCATATGTGTTGTTATTTTATTCATAATCACAATATAAAAAAAAATTAAATTTGCGACACTTTATAGAAAAAACTCTTTATTAGGGTTCATAATTTTGCTCTAAGCTCACATTACCCAGTCATCCTAGTTACCCCCGTTAGTTATCTCTTAAAAAAAAAAACACCCGCAATAAATTCCGATTTAACTAAAGCAGCTTAAGACACCATTTTTTGCTGACTTAACGTCAATAAAGTTTCCTTTGTCTACTAACCTTCGGGATAAACTTCGTTACATATTTATGCACTACTGGGTACGAACATGTGGATTCCAGAGTTAAGCGGGCCATAATCGTTACCATTTATTTTTACTTTTATTTTTTGTTAGGTGTGCATTGGTTCACGCTGACTCTTTATTGGCGATCGTATTTGTTCACACTTCCAGATCGATTTAGGAAATTGTAATCTGGAGTTCACCAAAGTTCCGGATAATATAATCCGATCAAACAAAAAATTACTTTTCTAACGTCTGCGTCACATGGACGAGCTCCAATTTTCGATACGAACTGGTGTTTGTTGTGCTGTGTACACAATTTGTCCGCGTCAACACCAGATTGAAAAATCCCTATCGCTACCGCCTTCTAAGAATATCGCACTTAATGAAATGCTTCAATATGTTGTTAGCTGGGGCGGCGCCTCGGAAGGCGGCGGAAGAAGTTGTTACGGCTTAAATAAATCCAAAGAATTTTGAGAATTCAAAAAATATGTTTCAAGAGAAAGATTAATTTCAAATTTTCTCGTTTTACAAACCCCAGAGTATGAAAAAGTAGGACCTACGTTTTTTTACTGATTTAATACGAAACGTAGGTAAATATAAATACTTTCTAATTCTTTAATTTTTGTAGATATTTATTTTTTCTGATTATGAGTGACACTTGTCAAGTGCATATCATTTTAACCGACAGGGGTTATTATAAAAAATGAAATCCGCAGTATTCAGTTTTATAATTTATCTAAAACATCGGAACCGTCGAAAGCTTGTTAGCAATTCGACCTGGTATAATTTACAATTCCATCAATCGCCCAACAAGAACCTTTGTAAAGTAAACCTAAATTGCATGCAAAATTTAATCAAACCTTCCGACACGTCATGATCTACATATTGAAAATTTATTAGGCTTCAAATATTCAAAAAAAGCCTCCGCCGTGCCTCTATCAGACGCTCTGAAGGCAGAGAATTTGCATAAAAAATGCACTTAAATTACTTTTGATTTCCCCAAACGTTTACTAAAATATGAAATTATGTTCTTTGAGACCAAATTGCTTTTTTTCAACCAAATTAAACTGTTTGCTAGTAATTCATTAGCGTCCAAATCGCTTCATCTCAAAGAAGATTGAAAGCCATTTTATTACATTTTCCCTCCACAAAACGATTTCTATCAGGGCGTACTCACGTATTATACATTTTTATTGGATATTGTGTTGTTCCCAATTCTTTTGTATTTCACTAAGCGGCAGCTAACAGGTGCTGAAAGCACTTTTAACGTTGTAAGAAAGTTTTATCGTACGTTTAAATTGGATATTTTTGCATGGCTAGGTCAATCCGGGAAAATCTGCAATGTCGTAGTTTGTATGCAGCGTTAGGAACGTGCGGCATCTAGGCAAGGTGTGTGGAACGGAAAGAAAATAATATCGCGATTATGAAAAGCTGAATGTGTTGGGTTGTAGCGACTTGGAACTAAATACAAATGTATTTCATGCACGACTGAGTTTAAGAAAAGCAAATTTGCCGTCGTAAATTATTTCCTCGAAGAGCGAAAGCGGCCGCTAAACGCCAGTTTGAGCAAAATATTAACATAAAGTAGGAGTTAATAAATATGGCAACAAATTTTGTCTATAAAAAAATGCAGGCACATCTAAATTAAATTCATATAAGTACAATAGACGTACTGTTAAAATAAAGGTCTATGAGTAGTAAGGTATAGTAAAGGCGATTCGAAGAACAATAAGAGTATTATATTCCCAAATTTTCTTGAAAATCGAGTGAGCCATTAATGTTTTTGAATCATTTTGTATAGGCAATTCTAGATAAGGTGTCACTATCAAGAATCATGCACATTGAAGTATGAAAAAAAAACAGTGGATTTTTAACGAACCCTCTACTACCGAGGACTTGATTTTATCCAAACGCATTATTCTAAAAAACCATAAACGCAGAACAGAAACGGAGTCGGCTAAGGGTCACAAGTTACGATTGTTTCTGCTTGTTTGATAAACGAAGCAATTTTATTGTTGTCAATGTCAAATTTATTTTTGCTTTTAACAGGATCAACTAAGTTTTGTTTAAATTAGTTATATACACATAGACTGTAGTCTGAAATCTTTTTCATTACCCCTTATTATTTACTTTCAACACATATCTTAAAATATAATGGTATACTCAGTTTTTTCACCTTAACTTTTTTCTAAAATCATTGACAAAATACTATTTCTCTTAGAAATTTTCAAAACAACAGAAATAAACAATTTAAAAATAAGGAGATTTATTTCAGCACTTTACTCAAAAAGCAATCAGATGATTTATTTTAAGACTATTATTTTATTCTTATTCCATTCAAATTAAGACAGTGTTCGATGGCGTTCACAATTCGAATCTAAACCAGAAAGCCACTTTGAAAACGGAAGATATATACATTATGTTTTTTTTAGATCTTCTGTGGAGACTAATTTAATTTAATTTAATTTAATTTAATTTAATTTAATTTGACGGGAAAACCCCAATTTACAATACTATAAACTATACAAATTGAAATTATCTTAGAAAATACAGGAAAAAAAAAACTAATTAAGTAAATAAAATCTATATACTTATAAACCCTTCACTAATAATTTTCCTAAAGAATTGAAAATGAATTAAACTTAAATACTAACAATCTATCATCACTTTAATTTACAGACCTAAAATACACTTAATTCTAGATTTGAATTTTGATCTGTCACAATCAAATAATAAAAATGTTGAATTTTCCGCCATCCTATTAGCCGTTTCCATCATACGTTTGATCGGATGATTCTGCGATTTGTTAGTCGTGGACACAGGTACCCTAAATATCGCTGTGCTCCGAGTTTTTCTACTATTTGAAGGAGGTATTAGAAATGTTAGTTGACGCAACAAGCTAGAATTGTCTATGTAACCATTAACTAGCCCATGAAGAAAACAAACATCGTACATTTTACGTTGATCCTCTAAAGACAATATTTTCAAATTACACATAATCCACGTATAATCCCCTCTTTGATGGACCCGATTAAGTTTGAATTCCAACAGTCGTAGAAATTTTTTCTGGACTCTTTCTAAAAGGTCGATATCTTTCCTATAAAATGGCGACCATACAGGAGAGCAATATTGAAGATTTGACTGCACCAAAGAAAAATACAAGGTTGTAAGAGCAGAGACAGATAATGTACGACAGTGACGCCAAATGAGCCCCAGCATGCTTATTGATTTATTGAATATATAATGAAAATGCTCCTTGAACGTAAGTTTGGAGTCAAGAATGATTCCTAAATCTTTGACTCCTAATGATTTATCTAACAATGAGATTTTTGGCACAATTTGAGTTGTTATAATAATTAATGACATTTTCCCCAAAAGTTTAATGATTTTGAGTTTTCTCAACAGGATTTTGAGGATGTTGTGCAATAAATACATAATAATTAGTAATTACGTATTATAAAAAAATCGAAGTGCAAATGTTTGAAATTTTTCCGAAAAACATATCCAAAAATATTTAATTATTTCAAGCGGTGTACAATAAAAAATATATTTGAAGCAGGCGGTGAAAATTCATTTGTTTACGGCTTTTTTAGAGTGTAGAAAAAGCCACGTCAAAAACTGACCGCACTTTGAGATAGTGATGATGAAACCATCCACGCTCTAAAAAATATTCGGTTGCTACTTAGTCTCCGAAAATAATTACCCTGTTTTAAATAAAAGGGCACTAATAATTTGAAGGTCAAATATTTTTTTTTATTTTACACTCGTTACATCACGTACAGTTTACTATAATAATACCAAGCTCTGTGTAGCTGCATAAATTCGTCATATTTTTTACATTTTAGAACGGATTTATTCGATTTTGAGAAGATATCAACAAATGTTTTTAGGAAATAAACAAATATATTTTGATTAAAAATTTACCATGCTTACGGTGAGTTTAAAATGTCTGCAAAATTTTAAGGCATTCATTTTTCTAGATTCAAAATTAAATTGCAACATGTTGTTATACAATTTTGATTTTTTTGTTTTCGAAAAATCGGAATGTCTCGGGTAAAAACACAAAACCCATTTGCTATATATAATTTTGAAACGACATCATCAC